GGAGGACAAAAAGGAAAAAAAAAAGGAAAGGGAGGGAGGAAGGAAGGAAGGAAGGAAGGAAGGAAGGAAGGAAGGAAGGAAGGAAGGAAGGAAGGAAGGAAGGAAGGAACAAACGGGGAGGACAAAAAGGAAAAAAAAAAGGAAATGGAGGTAGGGAGGGAGGGAGACAAAGAGGAAGGAAGGAAGGAAGGAAGGAAGGAAGGAAGGAAGGAAGGAAGGAAGGAAGGAAGGAAGGTCTTAGGAGGTTCTGTAGGATCCCAGTTTCAGTCAGAGGTTTCCAAACGTTTCTTAGAATCAACAAACATCTAGAAATATTTCTATGGTGTCGTTTCCTTTGGGCAGCAGCTCTGACGGCTCGGATCTACTAATGGTCACATGTTCAGAGGATGGTCTGACCCAGTCGACGCCGATCCGCAGGTGAATGCCAACGTAGGGCCTGGCCAGCAGGGCGGCGATGTGCTCCTCTCCCTCCTTCACCATCTTGTCTGACCAAACCATGTAGCGCTGCAGGCCCACATGCTCCTCCAGCACCGGGAACTGGGCCGGAGCGCCGGGCAGCGCCAGCACCGGGTGCTCAGAGGGGGGGAATCTGTTTCACACGCGGAGGGGGGGATTATTCAGTGGATTTTTCTCCTCAATCAGTAAAATACCAACAGTCTGTTTTCTATTGAGCGCATTCTAAGGCTCCTACCTCTTCATCCACTGCGGCTGATAGTAGGCGCTGAAGGTTATCCCTCCAAACAGAACCGACTGGTCAAACTCTACTCCCACATGGTCCCAGAACGGCCCGAAAGGATTTCCATCCTGAAACAATCAGAAGCTTTAGTCCAGGCAGAGAGCAGCAAGCATCAGCTGCAGACCGCAACTCTAGAACTTCACAGCCATCTGGATGAGTGAGAAACCTGCAGACGAAGCAGGACTCTGATGGGCTGACTGATGAAGGGATTCAACATGGATCAAATGAACCTGAAAAGAGGGGCAGAAAGTTTCTCTGCTCCCCAAAATAAAACAGCTCAGGTCCCGCAAGAAAAATCCAGCTGTTCTGTGATCAATCAATCAATCCCAGAGCCAACGTTCTCCAACTGTAGAGCTATTGATCTAGAATAAACCCAATCTGGTGACTAAACAGCTGCATGCAGAGAACAGCTCCCACCTTCATGGGGCAGGACTTCTTGTCTGCGCTCCTCTGGGCGGCGGCCTCGAAGCAGTAGGCCTTCCTCTGTCCTGGGGGCCAGTATTTAGGAGCCAACACCTTCATGAAGTCCTCCAGGCTGATCACCCGGTGGTACGCCGACAGAGCCTCCAGCTTGAAGAACTCGCTGTAGGGAACGTGAACCTGAACAGGAGGGAGAGAACATCTGAGCGGGGGAACAATTTAACCCACTGCAAGATCTGCTGCTTTAGAACAACCGGGGTATGAACCAGACACCCCAACTATGACCCAGACACCCCAGCTATGACCCAGACACCCCGGCTATGACCCAGACACCCCAACTAAGACCCAGACACCCCGGCTATGACCCAGACACCCCAACTAAGACCCAGACACCCCGGCTATGACCCAGACACCCCAACT